AGGCAACCGAAGTGGAGTAAACCCTAGGAGTGAGCATGTGCGAGTGAATTTTTTCCAGTTAATTTGTCTTTGCACATTTAGGTTATCTACCGTCTTAATTTTCAAGCATTCTTCCCATACAATTCTATTAGCATACATCTAACAGTTAATAATTGCGGAAATTTAAAGTGCGGAAATATAAATCTTAACTATTACATGGCTTTAGCAGATACAAAATTATTTAACTTAAAATAAAATGCGGAAATTTAAAACCCTAATTAAAATCGATTACATCCTCTGAGCAATTATAATAATAGAAAAAAAAGAAATTAGAGAAATGCGTGCGACAAATTTAAATGCGAGAATTAATTAAGAGACCTAAAAATCCAATTAAAAAATAATTAAGTTATTTTTTTGAAGAAAAAATAAATTATTTACAAAAATTAAATCCTAATTTCTAATTGGTTTTAAGTATAAAAGGAGTTAAATTAACCTAATTTTTGATTAAATTAATTAATTAAAGAAAATAAATATTTTAAAAAAAACATGATTTTTGGTGTCTTTGGGATTTTTTGGTTTTTTTTTGTAGTTAATTGAAAAAAAAATTAATTTGTGAAAACAAATAATTAAACAAGCAAAATAAATAAAAGAAATAATTAAATTGGGCCTGTATAGCAATTGGAGGGGTGCTTTTCTGAATTTATTCCAAGCCCACCAAGCTGAAGCCCAGTCAGCGTGTGATCCAGTGGGGGTGCTTCCTGATGGTACACCATGGTCCCTGGCAGGTGGAGGCGTTGGATCTGGTTGATCATGCATGTGATGAGATCATGTGTTTGGACGATGGAGGTGCATGATGAGCGCTTGAGTGGGAGGCGCATAGGATATGTTAAAGGAAAATAAAATAAGAAACTTGCTGGGACCTGGGGTCAAACACAAGTCCTCTACCCTTTCCAACGTACACGCTTGCCAGCTGCACTACCTGTTTTGCTTGTCAATATAATAGCAATAATATATAATATATAAAATATGGCAACTGAATCACAAATGCGCGCGGAATTCAAAATGGCCAATGACATGGTGACAAATCATCGTCTCCTTCGTTGAGACCGTCGTCATAGGGGTAGGACTTATGCCCACAAACATACTCCATAGCTAAAAACCTATAACCTTCAAAAATCAACATAACGCATGATAAATAAATTCTAGTTACATGGATCAAACCGTCTTGATGCCACGAGCACCCTAGTACCCTTTTCTGTGGCCAATTTTACCTGTATGTGTTGCACCCCAAAATTTTCCCTCCTAATTTCTTTTAATTTGGCTTAGACTTTTTGCATTCATCTGCATCTATTTCATTAGGTCACTAACATGGCATACATTTCATTCAATATAGCTCTGAGGTTCAAAGTTCAGTGGTTGTGCGATACTAGGGTTTCACGGTGGTTAAGGCGCTCGTATCCAATAAAGGATGATTTCTTATTCAGGCAGCAAGCTGTGGAATTAGGTTTTTGGTTCATTCTCTTTTTTGGATTTCTTCTCCATCAAGCTACAAGGTTATTATCTTCTGTTGAACAATAAGTTGCAGGGTATTCCTGTCAATAACATAAGGTTGTGATCTCGCGTACATGATTCAAAACACCTCATTCTATCATTGTGCTTGTCATTTGGTCAAGGTTTTGTCAATATTAGAGGTGTATTAAGATCTTCTCTAAAGGATCAAGATCTGTTATCAATCCAGGATGCATATGATGTTTGCATTACAGGTTGTTGACTATGTCATTGTTGCATTAAGTTCATCTATCCTTAAGTTAATCAATTAGGATTGGGTACGTCATGATTTAAGATATTTTGTATGGTAAATTTGGTTGCTTGACGGTCAAGGTATTGCGAATAATTGGTACAAGCTATTGTTTGGATATTTGTGCAAGAACTTTGGTTTCAAACATGGATTAAGGTTCAACTTGATAAAAAAGGAAATAGCATGCCCGAAGGTTTATTTTATAAATTCTTGCGGAGGAAGATGGCACATGAATATAAGTTGAGATTAAAGTACATGGTATCAAGTAAATCTCTTCATGATTCAAGTTGTTATTTTCAAGATTATCCCACATCATTGTTCACCCCAAGGTAAAAGATAAAAATATTCATTTAAATAACATTTGAGTGTTTATCATGTTTGTCTCAAGTTCATTCAAGTATCCATTCAAGCTCAAACTGAATGAGACAAATGTTTTGAATAATTGGAAATTTGTCATGCAAGAAGTTATAAAGTTTTGTTCATTACAAATTCAAGTCATTACACCGAAGTTACAAAAGACATCTCAATCATCAAAGTTTCAAATTCCAAGTACAAATCATCATCATTTTTTTACAAATATCCGTCATCATTCAAGGTTAAAAGTCAAGGGTCTCCATTCATGCGAGATTGAGGTGCGAGGTGTTTAGAATTGGAAGTTCAAACATCGAAATTTGAGTTTTGAGATCCAAAGCATGGTGTGCAAGTTTGTTTGAACCAAAGTTCTTATAGGAATATGGCATACAAGGAAAATTTTGATTCAAGTTCTTGTGAAACACATAAGACACTCATCATGGAGTACCATGGATTAAATTTGAGGTCGGATGGGTAGAATTCCTTAATTTGACTAAAAAGTAATCAAGGCCTCCATTTACCAAAAGCTAAGAAACTTAAAGAATGTTTAGAAATGGCATAATTCAAGAGGATCCATCTTGTAAAAAAAAAGCTCATAAATAATAGACATGGAATTTTGAATTGTAGCAAGTTTCAGCATATTCAAGTTCTACCAGTTACATCTCATTCAAGCCTCTGCTTTGACTACATAATTCTCAAAATATACAAAAGGCTACAAATTTACAAAAGAAATCAAATTTCTATTACAAGTCGGAACTATTCCCATCCATGGTCGTTCAAATTATTCAAATTACTCAAGTTCAATCACTCGAGCGTCTTTCATTCACTCATGTTACAGTACATGTCATTTCAAGATTACAAAACAAAGCTACAAAGGCCCTATTGAAACTTAGCGGCATTAATTATAAATGGCATGAGTTTTTCAATAACACCAACAGAGTTGCAGTTGTTTTGCTATGGTTACCTGTTGTGTTGATATACTTCATGGATTTGCAAATATGGTATTCGATTATCTCTGCCATTGTTGGTGGTACGATTGGTTTGTTTTCACATTTGGGTGAAATTCGGAATATCTCACAACTAAGGCTTCGGTTCCAGTTCTTTTCCAGTGCAATGCAGTTCAATCTGATGCCAGAGGAGAAGCTACTAAGTTAGCAGGCAACGTTACTGAGGAAGCTTCGCGATGCCATCCATCGGTTGAAATTACGATACGGACTTGGTAAACCCTTCACAAAAATTGAATCAGAACTAGAACTCTTGGAACTGCCACCAAATTGCTGGAAAATTAGGGTAATTCGATGGCCGTGTTTCCTTTTATGTAATGAGCTACTACTTGCTCTCACTCAGGCAAAAGAGCTGGAAAATGAGTCTGACACATCACTTTGGTTGAAGATATGCAAGAGTGAGTATCGCCGGTGTGCTGTCATTGAAGCTTTTGATGGCATTAAATACTTATTTCTTATGATTCTTAAAGTTGATAAGGTAGAGTTTTCCATATTGACTAATATATTCAGGGAAATAGACTACTACATTCAGGAGGGTAGGTTAACAGAAAAGTTCAAGGTATCGCATCGCGAGCTTGTTGGTGTGACTGATATAGATAGGTGGACTATTCATCTAGCTAGAAGGCATGTTAAAGAGTTTGTGCTGGAAATCTGGAAAGGGCAACGTTATAAGATACCTTCGTGTTTATTTTCTTGTCAAGGTTTACATCATCTAGAATTATTTAACCGTTGGATTAAACCGCCATCATCTTCTGCTGAGAAAACACAGGATAATTCAAATGCTGCTTCAACACAAGTCCCACTGGCCACTTGGAACTCAACCTGTAAAATCGCATCAAAACAATCCACAATCAGAACCAAAACTAACAAGCCAATGACATAACCTTCAGCTTGCCAACTAACTTTTCATAACAGATTTTCTAACTTCTAACTTTCTCTCTAACAATTAAACTACTAACTACAAAGAGAATTTCAATACAACTAACTTGTAACCATAACAAACTTCTAACCAAAATTTTCTAACAGAATTTTCTAACTAACTCTAACAGTTTCTAAGCTCCTAACCATATAACTAACTCTAAAACCAAAAACAGAATTTTATGAAAGCTCCCTCCAATTCTCTCATCATATATACATAATCAGGATTCATTATGCAGAGAGCCCTTCAAGCAGGGTCATTCCTAAAAAACAGAGAAAAATTCACAAAGAACTCACCAAAAAAAATTCTCTCATATCTCTGAGCTTTCTATGCACCTTCATCCTCGCATCATTCCCCTTCACGGTACAACAACAACACTTCAATAATCTCACAACTCTTTGCACCTTCAATCATCACCCACCTTCATTATTTCTCTATCTAAAATTCTCTCTGTACTCTCTCAATTTTCTCGGCTTCATCTACTTTGATCATCATCATCTCTTCAGATTTCATAACGATCATTCATAGAATTCTGAAGTCACTCTCAATTCCCTCTCCTCTGCATAAAATCTCTCTGAATTAGAGCATCTTCGATCTCTGTTCTTCCTCGCATAACATCACAACTGCATTTATCCTGCACCATATCAACGTGCAACTCTACATATAAGCAACAACAAATCTAAAAGAATTCAACGGTTCTCATAAACAATCAGAAGATAACCAAAGAAGCATGAAAAAAATAAGGAGAAGAAGAATTTAACTCTGGATTTCTCGCTCAACGTCATCGTTAAAGAGCTACCAGAGTATCTTTGGCCAGTAGGCTTCGACATTCCTCTGTTTTTTTTTCTTTCGCCCTTTCTACTGTTTGTTGTATCATAGAATCGAAGTGAGTCAAAGGCGTGATATGCGAAGGAGATGAAACATGAACGAAGCGTAACTTTGAAGGAGGTTACTGCGGATATGAGATGAAGAACAAAAGCAAGATGGAGTCAAAACCATGAGGAGATGGTGGCGATGTCGTGCTTACAGCGTCATGAAGTGGAGAAGGTAAGGGTGAGGAGGTTGAGGCCGCCATGTTGAGAAGAAGCGAGAGGGAGAAGAAGTGACCGCGCCGCCGATGTGTTGGTGAAGAAGAGTCGCACCATGAGAGAAGAATCGCGACGGTGAAGGCGAAGAGAGAATCACTGTCTGCCGTTGTAAGAAGAAGGAGGTTAATCGGAGTTGAAGATCAATGGATTTTCGCGGCGCCGGTTGAGACGATACCCTCTCTCCTCTCCAAACGCGGCGTTCTGATGTATTCTCTAACCATTGTTTTTTTTTTAAAAGTAAATGATAACAAAAATGGGAATTGGACTTGTGTGAAGGATCATGGACCGATCCACTTCCCACTAGGCCTAATGAAATATTTTTTGTACAAAAAATGCTTATTGGACCTTTTCTTCACGGGCTTGATGCTTCAACCCGCTTCTACACCTCCCTAGATTCCAGTTCATACCTTCTTCTGATTCATTCTTTTTTTTGGTTTTAATTTTGTTGTTTTAATTCTTTCACCAAATTTTCTTCGGCTGTTTTTCTATGATAAAAACAATATACAAAAATAGTAGCATATGTTTTTTTGAATATTTTAGAATTTCTTTTTTAGAATTTCGATTAGAGTTTCTTTTTACTATTTTATTTTTCATATTTGGTAATCATTTTTTTGCCATTTTTATTCAAGATTTTTGTGATAGCATCGATGTAATTCTTGCAATGGGAAATGCTTGGAGATTAATTTTTTATCACTCATGCAGAGCAACTTCTGTAGAGTTTTCTTATCACTTACGTGGCTTCGAAGAGGCAACGGACCTTCTCCGTTCGGTATCGTCACAACCCTTTTTTTCCCTTCATTTCCATACTTTACAGCCATCCATATGCATGCTAACATTAGGTAGACGTTCCCCTTTCATTCACCCTTGACTTAGGTCTAATAGTATGATGACTTTAGGTTTAGAAATAGGTTAGTCTCCCTGTGACTTTTCTTTTTTCTTTTCGCATATGCATTTAAAAACAAAAACTTCTTTTTCTCGTAAACTCCAAAATACTTAAAAAAAATTGCTGACGATAATCGTGCCTTTATTGAACATGGGAGACGATAAGCGGGTCTCTTCTCGATCTTATCATTTTTCCATTCTAAGTCTTGGCACGGTTCAAGTCTCAAAGACTCCTTTCACAAATAAGTAGAGAAATGGCTAAAACCCTCTCTTGAGGTCAACTAGTTGTTACTTACAAGCAAAAACATCGACCAATACAAAACTCTTTTTGCCTTCGGGCCCTTTATTTCAAAACCTTTTCAAAAGAGAATATTAATTCACTTCTGTGCTGACGCGTAAGTCTCCAAAGGTCGAGTTGCGGCAGAAGGCGAAATTAATATCGTTCATCAAAAACACGATCCAAATTCAAACCTTTTTGTGCGTCCAGGCACATTTCTTTCCAAACTTTTCAAGAGAGCATGTTAATTCACTTCTGTGCTGACGCGTAAGTCTCTGAAGGTCGAGTTGCGGCAGAAGGCGAAATTAATGTTGTTCATTAAAAAATACAAACCGACAAAAACATATAAGCCGAACTACGACTGCTCTGATTCCTTAAAAGGGATACGTACGCATCGGGGTAGGGCCCGAACGAGCAAAACTTTTCATTTTCCCTACATTCTTTTCTCTTTTATTTTGCATGCGTTTCCTGTACAGTTTAGATATAGATTAAACACACCCATAAGATAGATAACAAGAGTGGATACCGTAGAGTACTTTGGGCGTGTGGGGTGGTAATACCCTCCCCTCGCGTAACAGACTCCCTTACCCTTATCTCTTGGTCGTTCGACCTTGATTTCATCCTTCTCGGGTTTTCTTGATGTTTACCTTTCCTTACACGTGGGATAAAAGACGTTCGATGGCGACTTCATTGTTTGATGATTTTCAGCCGGTTGTTTCAGTTGGCGACTTCACTGGGGACAGGTCGACCAAATGTTGGTCCATCCCGGAGTCGCTCCTAGCTCTTGTTTTCTTTTCTTAGGGTGTTTATTTTTATGCTTTCAGTTCATTCGTTCATTTTTAAATATACCTGTGCATATGCATGTATTACACTCTACTGCCTTCCATATACTGCTGTTGTACTGTATCTGCTTCTTGCTTGGGTGGGAATGTTACTATTGAGGTAAACGGCCCAGTACCCAGGCCAGAGTGCACTAGGACACCTAGGAATAGAGTGGGGGCATGACGGCTATAGGACGTGGTCCGATTAGTGCAGTCATGTCATATACCACGCTTGGATGAGGTTCAATTGAAGGTACTTTCATCATGCACGTCTGTGTTGCGATGATTTTACTTTCAGGCGGACCCGTGATTTTCGAGTTACCATTATCTCACCCTGACCTAGTCTTCACCCGTGAGTAGGGAGGGAATCATATCACAGGTACAGTTGGTGACTATGTTCAAATGGTTACTCGTGCTCATGTGGTGACTATGTTCAAATGGTTACTCGTGTTCAGATGGTTATCCATGCTCAGATGGTTATCCATGTTCAGATAGCGACTATGATCAGACGGTGATTATTGGTTCTAATGATCATGTTATGGACTTCTGTCAATGACTTATGCATATGGTGTTTTGTTGGTGACCATATGGTTCTCAAATTTATTTTCTGACTTCCTGACTTGCTTACTTGGAAGTTCATTCAAGCCTTTGATCTTGGCATTCCCAGCATATTCAGAAACGCTCAACAGTATCTGATGTTCCTGAAGCATTGATCCCATGCTACTTAGATCTACATAGTACTCGGCTCTTATATGTGCGGAAGCTATGCCGGACCTTTGATTTGATAATATTCATATGGTTCAGAAGCAGTGCATCAATCATATTCAGAAATAATGGAACCTTGATCCCATTTGATCTCATGCCTTTGCATACATAACATGGCTAACCACATGCTTAACATACATGTCCTGTGATTTCCAAGGAATCGTATTTGTAAGCCTTGTGCCAAACTTTTCCATCTTTTACTTACATAAAATCAAAATCAAAGCATGTAAGTTCCTTGGAAATGACGGAACATGACATGGCATCCGTTCATGTATCCCATGTATATTCATGCATCCATAAAGGTTCTCAAAGATGGGGGATTCTTATTCAGACATGGTGCTCTCCTCGGAGGTTCAATTTGATTTCTTGCTCCACATGTTCAGGGAACAATTAGGGAATAACTCCGTGTGGTATACATACAAGCTTCGGCCCGTGGACAGAAGTCTCTTCAAGCAGGAAGATAATTGATTGAAAACTCGGATGATCCATGTCATGAAAGCTCTGATGACGATGTCAACAATATTGCACCTACTATCACAAGTAAAGGTTTTCTCTTCTCCTCATCTTTTGGGAATTGCTTCCAACTATGGAGTGCTACACAATCCTGAGTTCTTGGAACATCTTATCACCAGATGGTTCCCATTTACTATAGGATCTTACATCAGTGCTTCATTCTTGTTGACCATCGTCAGATGTGGTTGCCACACCGAGGTATCAGACCTTTTAATCAGGGGCATCCTCCATAACTTTGTGTTCCCTAAATTGTTCAACAAGAGCCAGTCTTTATTCCCCAAGTGAATTCATGGGGAAAGCTTTTAAGCCAAGACACGAGAACCCTGATGAGCATGCTAATGCGAGCCCAATGCATTACATCATATTATTCCCAGCTCTTCCTAGCTCTGATCTTTGAGGTCTTCCTCCCACAAACGTCTCTTCTGATTACAATATGTATGCTAGATGCATCTCTTATTCTGGGGTACCCGGTTTTGATATTAAAGATCACAAAGGGGTTGAAATATCAAGCCTAGCACCTGTTTGGCGTCTCTTCCAAAGGTCCAATTCCTTTCTGGCCAATTGCCATATTCTTTATCACCAGGTGGATGTCTCTTTTATTTTTATAGAGGACAGATTGTATTAGTTTTTTGTGGTGTAGTAATACGGATGATGCAGTTTATATCGATTCGCTTGGAAAAACATTCATTTGTTCTCCTGAAAGAATCTTCTACGCATATTATTCTGGGGTAATTGATCATTCGATTGAAGATGGTACGTCATCTAGAGACAAGGTCCAATACGAGATCAATCCGGAGACTGTGGTGTCCAAATCTGGAATTCTCTCACTCACCTCATGCATCTTAATGAACCTTCATGCATCCATAGCAGGTACTCAGAAGATTCAAGTTATGAAAAGAATCAGATGGGGCTATTTATTGAGGATATGCAAACAATGGCCTGTAGTTAGAAATCCTCAAGGAGAAAAAGTAGTCAGTTGAAGACTTAGTTAAGTTGGGTATGGAAGTTTTGAAGACCATGTCAGCAAAGAAAAGTGATCTCGTATATGTTGTTGCAACAGGAGTTTTCATTCATCCCCATCCTATGGGACTTTTTTTTCAAATCATGAGATACTTTGTGGGTCTGGTCTCACCCAGAGCTTCATATTCTCGGATTTTCTTGCTAGCAACTAGTTTCTGGTCTCCGAGTGAACTCAGGGGGTAAAAATTACCAACAGAGATAGAAAAAGCTCGAGAAACAGGTTGATAAAATCTTTATACCTTGTATCCAGTTACTTCCTCGAGTGTTGGAAGCTCAGTTGATTAAGCTTCGCGCTTTGAGCCATCCTCCAACAAATTTCTCTCCTGATTTCGATACAAATGCTAGATGTGTCTCCCATTCTGGGGCACTTAGTTAGGATATTGAATACTGCAAGGGGTTGAAGCATGAAGTTTGGTACTTGTTTGGCTTCTTTTCCAAGGTTCAGTCCATGTTTGAAAAACCATTTCAGACTCTTTTTCCTCAGTTGCATGCTTTTTATGTATAAGTATAAGATGGAGTGATGCTTCTATGATGGAGAAGTGTAATACGTCGAGTTCTTGGACATCTGCAGTTGTGTAAAAGAAAAATACCTCAATGGTCGAATGCTATACTCAGAGTTTAGTTTCTTCTGTGTAGTAGAAGATTCTTTGTTACAGTTTCTGAATTTTGCTTCTGTGTAGTAGAAGACGGAGACTCTTTTGTGAAGTAGGAGATTCTCCGTAATTCGGTTGCTAAAACTTCTCTCTTGTGAAGTAGGAGATGAAGTTTACTCTCTTTTGTGTAGTATAAGATTATTTAGTATGGTTGTTGGATGTCGCTTCTATGTAATATAAGACGTCACTTCTTTTGTGTAGTGGGAGACGTTTCAGCGGCTGGATTTCTCTTATGTATGATAGAAGATGGTTGGCATTTCTTCTCTACGGTA